CCTGCCTATGCAGGGGGTCAGACTCGATGATCTCAAGCAAATCCCGGGACGTCTCAAGCAAATCCCGGGACGTCTCTCAAGCAAATCCCGGGACGTCATTCTCCCCCTGTACTCGGCCTTAGTGAGGCCGCAGCTGGAGTACTGTGTCCAGTTTTGGGCTCCACAATTCAAAAAGGATGTGGAGAAGCTTGAGAGAGTCCAGAGAAGAGCCACGCGCATGATCAGAGGTCAGGGAAGCAGACCCTACGATGACAGGCTGAGAGCCCTGGGGCTCTTTAGCCTGAAAAAGCGCAGGCTCAGGGGTGATCTGATGGCCACCTACAAGTTTATCAGGGGTGACCACCAGCATCTGGGGGAACGTTTGTTCACCAGAGCGCCCCAAGGGATGACGAGGTCGAATGGTCACAAACTACTTCAAGATCGTTTCAGGCTGGACATAAGGAAGAACTTCTTTACTGTCCGAGCCCCCAAGGTCTGGAACAGCCTGCCACCGGAGGTGGTTCAAGCGCCTTCATTGAACACCTTCAAGATGAAACTGGATGCTTATCTTGCTGGGATCCTATGACCCCAGCTGACTTCCTGCCCTTTGGGTGGGGGGCTGGACTCGATGATCTTCCGAGGTCCCTTCCAGCCCTGATGTCTATGAAATCTATGAAATCTACTTTTTCTTTTTTTAATTTAGTGGGAGTCCTGGATCAAGACCCAAAGGTTTTATACTCTGCAGCATAAAGACAATAATACACTTTACATATATAACATACTGGTTAATTCAGTGTTAAGTTATTGCAGGTTTTCCCATCTAACTGTATTGTTGTTGTTAATTACCAGATAAGTTGTTGCACAGAAACTGATATAAAAGGATAAGGCCCTACCTTTCAGAGCTTGTATTCTCATTTTAAAGTTAATACAGTGAAGTGATTAAAAATGGGAGGAAAGGCAACATAGAAAATCATTCAGTGACTTGGTTGTGGCATGTACTCATCTGGATGTTCTGTTACGTTTAACTCATGTTTGTGGTTTTACATTCTCTGACTGGGAGTACAGACCATGTTCTATTCCGTATTGAATATATTAATGTCAACATACTAATAATAAATATCAAAATGTTTGCATCATTACAAAATATTTTGATACTGACTACTGCTTTTTCTACTTGTAATCTGGATTCCAGAAATGCCTTTTTCTAATAATAGGTCTCCAAAGCTGAAGTGCTACTCCATGGGCAGATATGGGCACCAAGCACTTAAAGCTTGGAAGTTGATAAACTCTTTACTTCAGAGTTCACGTATTCACAGATTATCTCTATCTGCATTTTATACCCAAGAGCCATCCAAAGCTTCTTTATCGACTTGATAAGTTTTGTGCAGTGCATCAGATAGAGGCTGAGAAAAAGACATTGGAGTTGATCAGCTTGTGTTAACTTACTAATTATTACTGACTGGAATGCATCCCAATAAAATCTACAGTACTATGTCTTAATATCATATGTGCACTGCTGGTCAATTACTGTTCAGATATATGTGAAATCAACATGGCTAAAGGTTACTGTTCTTATGATGATGAAACTTCCAGTCACTTTGCATCTGTACTTGCTTCAGTTGAAGTCATTGGAAAAACTCCTACTGGCTAAGATTTGACTTAATAGAATATTCATGGGACAAAGAAGGAATGGGTTGCCTGGCAGAGGTCATGTTTAATTTAAAGTCAAGTTAAGTTGTAAAATCAGTCCTTTTTAGGAATAATCTATATTGAACTAGCTCTAAACTGCTTGCATATTTTTCCCCCAGGCCCAGTACTATGGGGTGGTAATGGTTGGGACCCCTCCTCAGAAATTCACAGTGGTATTCGACACTGGATCGTCCAATTTTTGGGTCCCTTCAGCCTACTGCATCAGTGAAGCCTGCAGTAAGAAATGTTATATCCCTTTAAGCTTTTAACTCTTTTAATGGTAAAGAGACCATTCTTCCTGTTTAAAGTAGCTCCCCTGAACTGAAAACATTTTTTGCTGAAAAATATGTTCAAACGAAAAGCAAACACATTTCATGAAAAAACATCAGTTTCACACAATAGCTGTACTTCACAGCCCCATTATAGAACGATTATTCTGAGATATTCAGTTCCAATTTTATTTATTATTGAACAATAGTGAAGGAACTGATATTCTCCATTACTATACATAATATTTCCAGTATTGCAAACTCTAGAATTTGACATTGCTAATTCTACAGAACAGGACTGAATGTAACATAACAAGATAAATCTATTTCCATTTTACTGGTTTAGGTATGTCTGAAAAAGGAGTCCATAGGAAGTATGGTTAATGGAATTTATCTCAAAAGAGTCATCTGTTGAGCTGCACTGTATACCCTGCACAGCCACCTTTGTGTTTGAAAAGTCTCAGAAACAACATTTAGACGTAGTACTCTTGGGAACATTTAAGACTTAATGGCTTGGGACAGAAATTACACATAAACTGGTATAAGTGATCAGAAACCAGTTCAAATCTGTAACACAACAGAACTTCAGTGCACATAAACCACTTTCAAAATGGCCAAAACCATTTTAAGATAAACCTGGATGGATCAGACTTAAGGGTACATAAAGAAGTGAAGTTTCTGGGTCTAACTCATGGCAATTCATAGAAATTGCCATGAGTTAGATTGATCCTCTCAGTCCAACATATGTTAGCTGTTGGATTGGGAGGGTGGAGGATTGGAACTGATCCAAGGAGGGAGGCTGCATCTTGCCCTGCTTTCCTGTGTCCTCTGTCTCCACTCTCAGAGTTTCGTTTCTGTCCCTGGATGGTCAGGGGAGAAGGCAGGGGAGGGAGGTCTTCTGGGGTTTTCTCAGCTCTGCTGGAGTGTGTGTGTGTGTGGGGGGGGGTAGATTGGAGCCCCCACCAAGGTGAGGGGCTCCAATCCACCCATACCCCAACTCCAGCAGGACTAAGAACCTCAGAAGGGACATCTTTCCCCTGCCTTCTCCCCAACCAATCCAGAGAGAGCAGCTAAGCCAGGCTGCTTTTGCAACTGGATCAGACAAAAATTAATGAAGTCACTTTGCTTAGGAGTGGCTTCATTTGACCCCTCATAAAATGAGGGTTAATTTGTCTCATGCCTAGTGTGCTCTGCAGCCATGCATTTCTGTTTGGGCACAACTTTAGAGTGATTTCAAGGAGCCGATCATGTGGCAAATATAATTTCTGTCTGCACCTTAACTGATTCAGGTTAAATTGGTTTATTGAACTTCTAGCCCAGATCCTGTCCAAATTCCAATTAACTTACAGTCCCCCAGCATCCCAGGATGCTTTACGTTTTCCCTTGCAAATCCCGCTTCATAGAGTGGATGGGTTAGCCTTGGCCCAAGCTATCTGCTCCAGCCAGGCAGGGAGTAATGCTCTAGCACCCCCTGACTTCTGGCCTGGGCTGCTAGAGACATGTGGCTGCATTTCTGGAATCAAAAGTGAATGTCTGTTCACTTGTTTATTGGTTCAATCTGTGCAGCTTAGACTAACCTGCAAAAATTGAATGGATTCAACCTCAGGTTTTTTGACTGTCTGTACTTAGCCAGTGCAACACACAGATAAAATCAGAGTGGAGTACTGGGATAGAAAGGTTACGAATGTGCCTACTGGGGAGAACATCTGATATGTGAGTGGTATCATTTGGATGCTATTCCTAACCTTGATTATGACTACCAATCTAATCTGAATATCTGGCTGCTCTTACCACCCTAGTGGTACTGGGTACTCTGTGAAAACAACTACAACTCTTTCTCTTCCTGATATCTTTAGGGAACCAGGGGCTCACATTTATCCTATAATGTAGGAATGTAGGTACTCTCCTTATTCACTACACTGTTGAGACTTAGGGCCCTAGTACCTAAGAGCATGAGATCCATAACTCTCAGTATTCTTTATTGGCCATCTTCCCTCTTTTCTATAGCAGTAGAAATGGAAAGACTCCTTCCTCACAGCAATTGCTGTTATGCTGATCTTTTGTCTAGGGGAGGTGAAAGATGTCTCAGAATTCACAGGGTTTGAGAAAAATCCTCGTGTTCCCAAGGATTTATGGTCAGAGCAGGCTGACTTTGTACTTTCCTCCTCAAAGAAACAGAGAGTAGGATTCTGGAAGCTGCCTTTGAAAGCTGTCTGGAAGGCCTTGGAAGGCCCTTTGACCTGGTGGTGTTTGGAATCTAGATTAGAACATTGGCTCTTTCATATACACTAGCATTGGGTTACTATTTTATTTCTGTTTTATCCATCCCTCACGTTTGCCATAATATGCAACCTCTGCTGCTGCCAGTCCCAGCTGCTAATTGGCATTCTGACACTGTAAAAAATGCAAGGCAAAAGGAACAAAATAAACTTGAGAAAGTGAAAACATCTGTGGAAATAGCAGGATAATATATATTTTTAATGCAGAAAGGAAATTAATCAATCATTTAAGTGTTTTGGGAACAAAGTGAGCATTGCAGTGTTATGGAAGGCATCCATCCCTTACTGTATTATTTTGTATGCTTGAATGTATCTGAGAAGGCTGGTGCATTCCTTATCTTTGAGCTTAAACATGCATTTTGTTTTCTCAGGCGTTCATGAAAGATTCAAATCCTTTCTATCAAACTCCTATCAGCATGGAGGTCAAGCCTTTTCTCTACAGTATGGTACTGGGCAGCTTCTAGGCATTGCTGGCAAAGACACAGTACAAGTGAGTAAAACCACTAAGTCATCACAACCACTCTATAGACTGGGTGTTTATTACTTTCCAGATGGGCAAGATGTTGATATTGACCTAATTTGGGGCCTGCCTTACATATTACTCCTGTTATACTGACGCAGCTGCTATCAGTGGAGAGGGCTGAGCTGGAGCCCTTCAGGGTGGAAGTAGGAGAGGAAAAAAGCTGTCAACACAGTGTTGTCTGTGAGAAGCCCTTAGCTGCAAAAATTTCTCATTCCTTAGTCCAAAATAGCATGAATCTGACCTTGACTGCTTACTGCAAGGTCCAGCAGCGTACTCAAATTTTTGAGACGTGGTGTTTGTGACAAAGGAGGGTGTTGCTGGGGCTTTGATTTCATCTCTGGATTCAATGTAAGGAATAGCTGTTGTTTCAGTCTTTTTATCTGGTTGTATTTTAAGTTCATAGCAAAGAGGCCTAGAAAAAACACGTTTAATGTAGTATAAAGTAAATGGGCCAAAGCTTAATTAAGATGGACTTATGACTCTGTCTTGCTTGCTTATCAGAAGTTTTAATGCAGCTAAACTCTATGATCTGGAAGGTCATGAGACACCATGGCTACATCCCTACAAGCAGGGGCATGCAGTTGATGTGGGGAAAAAAGCAGCAGCACAAATTCATGTTGCTGCTTTTTGCTCCAGTGCACATCCCTGCATGTGGAGTTAGTACGGGGGAAAAATGCTCCAGGTGAGGTAGCGGAGGTTGGGGCCAGCACCTGGGGTGGCCCTAGCAGCCTTACCTGGGGTATTGAGGGCCTCTCAGGGTGGCAGAGGTGGTGATCCAGGAACATGGAGCCTGGCTGGCTGGCCATGCGCTGGTTTTGGGCAATGCATGCTGCCACCACATGCACTGCCCCACTTTTTTCTGGAGCAGGTTTTTTTGACACTGGGATCTCCCAGCATGAGAGCAGCTCTGCAAACTGCATGTGTATGCTTGTCTGGATGCTGCTCACCAGGCAACATAATTCTATGTTTTTGGGTTGTTGGGTTTTTTTGAGCATTTAATTTCCTTGGCTTTATGAATGATTTCTCAGTGTCTGTGTAAAAAACAAACAACCCCTCCCCCATAAAAGAAAAACTCCAAAACCCCCCAAAAAACCTACTGCTCCTTCTCCACTGTATCTGACTTCTTGGAAGTGAGTACCCTAGTCAAGTCCATAGGTTGCATTTTAACCCCTTCACTGTCCCTGAATTGTCTTTTCATCTTGTTTCTCCAGCACAGTCTATTTCTCTTTTTTTTCAGTCCTCCTCCCCACAGAAACGTAAGGATTGACATTGGGACTGCTGGAGAAGGGACTAGAGAGTGGATCTGGGAACAGTACAGGGTCTAGCATGAAATAAGCAGGAAATTTTTGGAAGACAAGGTAGACATGGGTATGTGGAGGAGCTTGGAGGGCAGAACTGAAGCCCATGCACTATAACCTCTCTCACAAAGGGGCACAGGGTGGGATACACTAGCTATGAGAAATCCTGAGTGATTGCAATCAGTTTGGGAACAATCAGAGTGATAATCTGAGCTCCAAGTATATGTACGTATGCTAGAAGAATGGAGTAATTTTGTAAAATGCTTGTGGTGTTATGGAGCTATTTCACCAGAATTCTTAGCTCAAAAGATCTGAATTTGAATCAGAAAGCCTATTGGGCCAATTATTTGGAGTTACCTGTTCAAACTGTAAAGTTAGAACAGGGCATATCATTGTTTAGTGTTCGACATCTGCCCGAAAGCAAAAGGAGCACTAATTCCTGTTGCGAGGCAAAATAAACATAGATATAGGGACTGGGTTAGTCTTGGACTTGCAATTTGTTTCAACATGATGCCATTTGCCCTGCTGCTGAAAGTCTGAGAAGTGATGAGAATAATGTCTGCCTCTTCTGCCCTTTACTCATGTTTTTTGCCATTAGCTTGTGAATAACTGGCAGCCTTTAAAGAGATTTTTTTCCAACCATATCTTCACTGGTGAGATGCATGCTGCACTATTGTAAGGGCCCTGCCACATGTTCAAATTAAAGCTGGGTAGAAAACAGTTATAAAGTTATACACATTTTCAAGCACTAATTTTTTAGGTATTTGGCTCTTATAGCTAGATGGACATTTTTTATGGCATGATAACTAATTTGCACATGTGGCTGGTCTAAATGTATTGCGTGATTAACTAGTGAACTGCATAATATATGTAACGTGGCAGGGGCTTAACTAACACAAGTACCTTTACACTCTAAACATTACATTTAATAGAGCTAATGCACTTAATCACCTAACATGCAACTAGCATGGCTATTTCCTGTTATCTATCATTCATTACTCTCATTTTCTTTTCTTTTCTTTTTGTAATAATGGCCAGATTAGCAATATTTCTATAGAGGCACAGGATTTTGGAGAGTCTGTCTTTGAACCAGGCATGACCTTTGCCCTTGCACACTTTGATGGAGTGCTGGGTTTAGGATATCCATCTTTGGCAGTCGGCAACCCTCTTCCAGTGTTTGACAGTATGATGAACCAACGCTTAGTAGAGGAGCCAGTGTTTTCTTTCCACTTGAACAGGTTAGTTTTTAACACTTAGTAAATTGATGGTGTCAAAAGAAACAGATTTCTATTTACTGTAAATGGAGAAAACTGTCCATTTGTATATTTCTTCAGCTTGTAAGAAGAAAACATTATCAGAAAGTTATTTAGATAGAGACACTAGTGGGGAAGCATAATAGCTGAATGCATGTCTCCAGAAATGCTATTAAATTTGTTTCTTTAGTATAATACTTCTTGTAACTCAGATTATCTTCACTGCATAATAAGCAACCAACGCAAAAAAGCTCCCTGTTCTATTGATGTACTAATCTGAATTATTTTCATTTGAAACCTTGCTGAAAGTGAAAACATGGTCATGTTTTTTGAACTTTTGGATGAAAAGCAACCCCTCCCACCTTATTTGTTTTAATATTTTTCAGTTTAATCACTTAATCTGTTTTTTCATTTAGTTTTTCCTTCTCTTCTTCCCTTTTCCACTTTTCACAGAAAAAAAGTAGGGTGAAAGGAAGGAGAGAAAAATGGGAAAGCAAAGACCTCATGTTTTATCAGATCAGAAAATTGTTGAATTTTGTTTATAAAACATATTTATCAGTTGCTGAGAAGCTGCAGTAAGAACAGTTGCACCCAACTTTTTCTGTATTTTGAGCAAAGAATTCATAGATTCATAGATTTCTAGGGTCGGAAGGGACCTATTAGATAATCGAGTCCAACCCCCTGCTCTGGGCAGGAAAGAGCACTGGGGTTAAGTAACCCCAGCCAGGTGCTTGTCTAATCTCCTTTTGAACACCTCCAAGGTAGGGGAAAGCACCACCTCCCTTGGAAGCCCATTCCATATTTTGGCAACCCTCACTGTAAAGAAGTTCTTCCTGATATCCAATCTAAATCTACTCTCCTTCAGTTTATGGCCATTGTTTCTAGTAACCCCAAGGGGCACCCTGGTAAACAAACAAAGTATCCCCTATTCCCTGCTGACCCCCCTGATGAGCTTGTAGACAGCCTTGAGATCACCTCTCAGCTTTCTCTTGCGGAGGCTGAAGAGATTCAGGTTCCTCAATTTGTCTTCATAGGATCTTACCTGCAAACCCTCAACCATATGAGTAGCCCTCCTCTGAACCCTTTCCAGATTATCCACATCCCTCTTGAAGTGCGGCGCCCAAAATTGGATGCAGCATTCCAGCTGCAGGCTCACCAATGCCGCATAGAGGGGAATTTCATTTCCCTAGACCTGCTCGTGATGCACTTACTAATGCAGGAAAGATTGTTTCCCTAGCAAGTAGAGGTAAAGATAACTACTGTGTTTAATAAGCACAGTATTTCATAGTGTGACAGGGGGCCTCCTCGGGGCCGAGGTCTCTGGCCCGCCCACCTGTCACTGTGACAGGGGGCCTCCTTGGAGCCGAGCTCCATGGCCTGCCCCCTGTCTCTGTGGGCAACCTCCTGCCTATCTCGCCTGCCATGCCTTTGATGTTAATTGATTCAATTAGATGTCAATTAAGCGGGAGGCTGCCCATCTAGTGCCCCAATGCCAGGGGGCGCTCTCTGCGGCTCCTATCCTCCCCAATACCGCAGCCCAAGCCTCGCAGATGGCATCTTGGTGTTCACATAATCACCTGCCCCACACTGGGCCCCAGAATCATCCACACAGGACCCCTCTATGATCCTCTCCTATCAGGCGGCCACTCTGCCTTCATCCGGGCTACCTAGGCCCCCCAAAGCCATGTTCCCCTCTCGGGTGTGGTCCCCCCGGGACCTTCGGCCACTTGCCCTGGCCCACCTCCAGGCCAGTCAGGACCCCAGGCCCCCGGCTCTTGGGCATCCCTCGCGGTGGGCCCCTGGCCCTTTTGACTCCCATAGTCCTGGCCCCAGCCTGGGCCAGTCGAGGGTACTCTCCCCTTCGGGCTGGGTCTCTAGCCACTCACTCGCATCCTCGGGCCTCACCGTGCCACTATTCCCTTTCTCCTAGGGGCAACCGCAGCACCATGCCCTGTACTCAATCACGCTCTTGAGGTCCACCCTCTCTGGGCCCCTCACAACACTGGCCCTCTGGGCCCCCCAACAAACACAAGGGTAACCCACCCAGTGGTGGTGGGAGCTAGGGGTTAAGGTGCCCCGACTCGCCTTTCACCGGGGTGATAAATGGCCTGGCATTTCCTGGGGGCTCCCGCACCACTGAGAGCCCCACCAGGCCACCCACTCCCGGCAGGGTGCAGTTTCAGGTCATGCCCAGGACCAGGAGCCTCCTTACCATCCCCTTGCAGCTCCCCCTTACCTCCAGGCAATCTCAGCAGCCCTCCAGCCAGGCGATGTTGCTGCCTGGCCTCCTGCAGCCAAACTGCTCTGTTTATATAGGCAGCCCATGCCTCAAAATAGCTGCCCTCGTCAGGCACCTGGAGGCTGCCAGCTCCAGGCCCTTAAAGTGGCAGACACACCCTGTGCTCTGCCACACATAAGAAAAGGAATCCTCTTCTAATCTTAGTTTCCTAGGTCAAACCCAGAGTGATTCCATTTCAATCAACAGCTTCACCCTGCATTCATATTGAGAATGAGACCAGAAACTGGCCAGAGCCACTGCTTGTATCTTACCCCCACAACGCTCAATAACCAGAATATAGTTTTTGGGGGGGTTTTGGTAAGGGATTTAGGCTGGGAGTTTCTGATTGGAGACAGCAAATAATATAATTTAAAAATAATTTAAGTATAACTTAAAATTAGAAGTCTTAAGCTTTCACTGTAACCTATCCATTTAAAAAAAAACCCAAGATGTGAAAGGGTTGGAATTGAAAGTTGATTCCTCTATACATTTCATGTAGTTCGATTTGCCTATGTATTTATCTATCTGTTTTGTTTTATGTTTAGAGGAAACGACATTGAAAATGGTGGAGAATTGATCTTAGGGGGCATAGATCATTCCCGCTACAAAGGTTCAATTCATTGGGTCCCAGTCACTGAGAAAAGCTACTGGCAAATTCACGTTAACAAGTACGTATGCACATGTATAAATAGCATCAAACTGCTTCTCTGTGTGGAGAAGAAAATATCTGTTAATTCAATCCCAGGAAATCTATGCTGCAGTAACCTACCTGTAGGTACTCCTTTGCAAAGGCCCTACTTCAGGGAGGACACTGAAGCGAATTAGCATCTCCTGGGCTACAGTGATGTTTCTAGAAGCCACTTGAAGGAATGTCCCTTATTAATATGACACCTGACAGATTACTAAATATTATTCCCAAGATACAGGTCTTGTAGCTAAGACACTGAAGAACTGAGTTCAGTTTCCATAGTGTTCCTGTGTGACCTTGCTCAAGATGTTTAGTCTCTCTGTGCCATAGTTTGTAGCATGTCCACTGATGGTAATAAAATGATAGTGATTATGGAGATTCATAGATGTTAGGGTTGAAAGGGACCTCAATGGATCATTGAGTCCAACCCCCTGCCCGTGGCAGGAAAAAGTGCTGGGGTCATGTGACCCCAGCCAGGTGAATGTCCAGTCTCTTCTTGAAGACCCCCAAGGTAGGGGAGAGCACTACCTCCCTTGGAAGCCCATTCCAGATTCTGGCAACCCTAACCATGACGAAGTTCTTTCTGATGTTCAACCTAAGTCTACTCTCTATCAGCTTGTGGCCATTGTTCCTGGTTATTCCAAGGGGTGCCCTGGGCAAACAGAACATCTCCTATTCCCCATCCCCCCTGGTGAATTTGTATACTGCCACAAGATTCCTCATAGGGCCTTCTCTGCAGGTCTCTAGCCATACAAGTAGCCCTTCTCTGGACCCTCTCAAGGTTGTCCATATCCCTCTTGAATTGCAGCACCCAGAATTGGACACAGTACTCCAGCTGCGGCCTGACCAGTGCCGCATAGGGGGGAAGCATCACCTCTCTGGACCATAAGTCAGACTTTGTCAAGGCCAGTGGTAGACCTTATATTTGTTCCAAGTTATTCAGATTACCCTGAAGTATAGGAGCAGCATGTCTCTCCATTGACCCAACGACCCACATTTATTCTGAAAGGATTGATTTCCATAAATCAGTTCTGGGCTTCACATACCACAGATCTGTATTGTTGCATCAAAAGAAAATCAGCATATTGGGAGTCATACTTGAGAAGGCATACAGATGAGATAGAAATATTCCCTGAAACATGGAGATTACTTAAAAGCATATTGTTTTACAAAAACCTTAACCATTTGGATAGGGCCTGATGCACCTACACTGCATTGCAAAGGGCGGTTAGTTCTGCTAATTACTTTGTTACATAGACAACTCATATTCATCTTGGAGTTGATGACAACTCCGAGATCTCTTTCTGCCACCGTACTGCTGAGAAGGGTATCCCCCAGCCTGTGTGTCCTGGTGATTCCCTCTCTCTAGGTGCAGCACTTTGCACTTGTCCTTGTTGAACTGCATCCTATTGTTCTCTGCCCACTTCTCTAACCTGTCCAGATCTACCTGGATTTGGTTTCTTCCCATCAGTGTGTTTACTTCACCCCATAGTTTTGTGTCATCTGTGAATTTGGACAGAATGCTTTCCACGCCCTCATCCAGGTCACTGATGAAGATACTGAACAGCACCAGCCCAAGGACAAAGCCTTGGAGGACCCCACTGCCCACATCTTTCCAGGTCAATACCGGCCTGTCCACCCCCACTTTCTGGGTACGACCCTTAAGCCAATTTGCCACCCACACGACTGTGTAATCACCTATGGCGCAGCCGTTCAATTTGTTTATGACAATAGGATGGGATACCCTGTCAAAGACCTTCTTAAAGTCCAAGTAGATAACATCTACCTCAACTCCTTCATTTAAGCATTTAGTGACCTGGTCATAGAAAGAAATAAGGTTAGTCAGGCAGGATCTACCTGCTATGAACCCATGTTGGTTGCATTATATTACCTGCTGGACTTGATTAAAGTCCCTGCTAACTCTGTCACCACTCTCTGTATCTTTATACTGAATAAAGTGCCTGCATATGTTCTTATTTTTCTCATGCAGCGTGAAAATCCAGGGACGGATTGTGTTTTGTGCTCACGGTTGTGAAGCCATTGTTGATTCAGGAACTTCTCTTATTACTGGCCCCTCTTCCCAAATAAGACGCCTTCAGGAGTCCATCGGGGCAAGTCCAACGCAAACTGGAGAGGTAAAAATCACTAGGAAAGCAATTCAAAAGGAAGGGCAGCAGTAATTTTGTACCAAAACTTAGGATATGGCATGGCAGGGAAAGGGAGAAAATGATGAACATTAGGCAAGAAGTAAGACCTTTGCAGTACAGAAATCAGGGGGCCGGTGGGGGGAGGGAAGGTATTTGCATTGTATCGTTTTTTCATCCTTCTCCTTCCCTTCCTCCTTTTCCAAGATATCTCCTCTCCTCAATAATGATACACATAGAACTACTGGAAGTAGCTCTTTAAGGTATTCTCCTGCTAAGGATGCCCAGAGAATCATGACATCATATACCAGATCGAATATCTTTTTGTAAACTAAGGAAAAAATTACCTTTCCCAGGTCTTAGGGCATGACTGGTAGCTCTTCAAAGTCCAGGAGGAGTTCCTGTCATAACCAAGAAATTAAGATAAAAACTGTAACTCATTTCCACCCCCTTGTTCTACCACTGAACGACTATGGTATCATCCAGACTCATGGGGCTATAGTTATTAGGCTAAATGCTAACGTAATCAGAACTCCTGCAGAGAATCAGATTGAGCTAGGCCTTCTCTTTTCTATCCTTCCCATCTTCTGCACGCATTCAGTCCCTGGGACCTTTTTCATTCTTTTTTTTCTTCCCTGCATTGTGTCTCCACTTTGTATTGTGTTCTGTTACCACCCTCAGCTTTTACTCTCATCCTTCTCAAGCTCTATTTGCTCTCCACTTTCCTTGCCACTTCCTTCTTTCCATGTGCAGCTCAATTTCAGATCTCCATTGTTTCCACTCCCTTCCTCACTATACCACCTCCCAGTCAGTGCCAGTGTCATCCTCTGATGCTCTTGCTTCTTCAGGGACTTTTCCTTTGATGTCAAAACAGCTTTATTTAATCACGTCATGGCTTGCCATTCGTAGACTGGCCTCCATGTTGATTTCTATGTGAATTTATTGGGTTGGATCATGTGAATGTTGAGACTTTTCTGTGGAACACTGACTGCTATATGGCAGACAAGGTTCTTTGGGTGAATCTGATATCTTTTATTAGATCAACTTAAATAGTTGGAAAACAATTTTTAAGCAAGCTTTTGAGTTAAAATTGTTAAAACTTAAAAATCATTTTCCAACTATTTAAGTTGGTCTAATAAAAGATATCAGATTCACCCAAGAACCTCGTCTGCCTATGTCCTTAGACCAACACGGCTACAACCTACACCCCTGTGACTGCTGTATATACGTTAAACTTTCCCACGACCATTTTTCAAGTTTGGGTCTCCAGCCTTCATGAACTCCTACTGCTGAGCTTGTGATATGAGGTGTGGTGTATGAAAAGACTGAATTTGGGTTCAAAAGCTTGTGCTTTATATATATCTTATTTCGTTAATCTATAAAGGTGCATAGTTACCTGGCCTTCTGTATGAAAACATTGCCATCTTGAGGCGTGTTTTATGTATTACATCCCCACACCAACACATTGTATATAATTCATGAGGACAGTGCTATACATTTTTAAGAGGCAAGGATTTCTTAGGGTGATATATTTTACTGGACCAACTACGTAGCAGAGTTAGACAAGCTTTTGAATGCAAGACATTCTTCATCGATTTTGAGTACTTTTCAGTACTAGGGCTTCTTTCTTTGCTGTGGCTCACATTTCCCTAGTGGGTGCATAGTGGGTAACATTTTCACATGACCTAGCTTCTGCAATGTCTAAAGTACCGAGGTAACAAGAGTGAGACAGCTAAACCCTATCCCTCTCTAGGGACAGTGTAATTTATTTTTGCCAGTGCTTTACTGCTGACCTTTGGCTGACTTGCTGATTCAGTTACCGCATTGCCACAACTTCAGTACCTCCTACGCAGCAAACACACGTATGGTTTCTTTTCACTTTTCTTTTCATTTTTTTTCTGTTCACTTTTCAGTAATCTTGATTACAGCTCATTCTGTTGCAAAGTCATATTCTAAAGCAACATTAAGACTACATGGTGAACCTTGAAAATAAGTCAGTGCCAATGATAACGTAAAAAGCACAGTTTTAATTCTGCCCCTTTTGTGCTTATTTGTGCCTGATTCACAACTGTGTTATTCCAGTTTTGATTATGCCTAGTTAACATTGGTGATTTTCGTTTACTAATTCTAAGAGAAACCTGTTTTGTTTCCAATCTAAAGTGCACGCACACGCATGTTTAAGATAGTAAGTGATCACATAAATAAAGGTGATATTATCATTCATACTTGCAAAAAGGAATAGTTAAAATCGTGTATTCAATTTATATTAAAGCAAAAAATAAACAAGGGCACAAGAGGGAGACTTTTTCCCCACAGAGTCACAATTTTTTTATTTTCACTACTTGGAATATGATTTTAGGCAATGTTAAAATTATTATTCAGTCAAGTTTCAATTTTTATTTCAAAGTAGCCTGAACATATAACGTTGCATCTAACTTTTGTAGATATTAAAGACAAATCAAAATATAGAGACTGATTACCTTAGCATAAGTGGTTGCAAATACCAGTGGCTGCAACAGGATTTGTATTCCCATATACCAGGAATTAAATTGTCCCAGCCAGTTTTGTATATATGACATTTGGTTATGACGCTCATATCCCATAATGAATTCTCATGGCTGTTACACTGATGCTGTATATGCCACAGGATACTTAACTGCTCTATTTGAGTCATGTTTCTCAGAATGGACTCAATGGGCATACAAGCCAATGAGTGCATCTACAAGTACAATTAGCATGCAGAAATAAACTCCAGTGCAGTTCGTCCCAGAGTTTATTTCTCCTGGGTGCTGAATTTACACATGCACCTGGGACTTCAGCATGTTGAGCCAGGGTAGAGCAGACCTGGACTAGCAGGGGATCTAGAGGGTCAGCCTGCCAGCCTGGGACTGTTGTGCCCTGGCTCAGTGTGCTGTCGAAGGGCTGGCTGGGACACAAGGGTACTACAGTCAGGGTATAGCCGGCAACCAGTCCCAGTCACTGTCTACACATACATTTTGGTGCGCTTAACTACTCTGCTATAGGATAGTACTTGTCCTAGACAGTATCATCCTACAGCAGAGTTAATTAGTTTACTGCACCCTGATACGGGCACATGTGTAAATGGTGATGTTTTACTGTGGAGCTAATTAGTCAGCTCCACAGTAAAGTGCACATGTAGATGCACCCAATATGGTGTAAAACTCAATGTGTAAAATATAAAAGGCATAAGCTAGTTTTACAAAATTCTACATTAATTTCCAATAGGAGACTTGTAAAGCAATATGTCAAAACAATAAAGCTGACTATAAAGCTTCCCTTGGATTTGAGGCTGCTATGGTCTATAGAATCATGTGCCCCACAAAAGTGCTAAATGGGTTCTATTCACCTGAAACTATGATAATCTATAGAAAGGGAAGGGTTGTGGTGGGAAGGTGCTCCTTTAGGGGTTTTTGAGAATAGGCTAGACCCTGGAAGCAGCTCCCACAACTGAGGCAGACTGGGAGGAGGAGGAGTGCACACGGCACAGCCTACTAATATTTCCTTTGTAAGAGACAGTGAGCACCCACAAGAGTGTGGCTGTGCTCACTAGTGTAGCATCTGTCTTCACATTTGTCATCCTTGCTGTATAGGGACATCAGTATCTGGCCTTGATTTTCCTACTCTTGTGTTAGGAGCCTGGGGAGTTAAACCAGTGCCTGATCCTGGGAGTGGATATCCCAGGTTGCTTCCACCACTTGCACTCCTATGCAGGGCCATCATATAACCCTGAATGTTTGATATGCTACAACTATTTTGTATTCAGCAACACACTCCCAGATTTGGTTCTCTGGTTGATGTGTAGGTTTGAAAGTTGATAGATGGATAACAATTTTTAATTAAAAAAGCAATGTAAAACACCAAACATATGAATCTCAAGTCAACTGATTTATTGTTTTACAGTTCATTGTAGACTGCAGAAGACTCTCAAGCTTGCCACATATAAGCTTCACTATTGGACACAAAGAATACAAGTTAACAGCGGAACAGTATATAATAAAGGTATGTCTATAAATTCTGACAAACGTTTCCTACCGGACTCTGAGATGACAAAATATTGCTCTAAATATAAGTGCATTTTCCATTCTAGGAATCCATAGATGGAAGATCCTTGTGTATCAGTGGCTTTCAGTCTCTGGACATCGCCACTCACTCTGGACAGCTTTGGATCTTAGGAGATGTATTTATGTCTGTATACTACTGTGTTTTTGATCGTGGACATGACAGAGTGGGGTTTGCAAAAAGTGTTCATAGAAAGGAGCATTTGTAAGGTCTTACTGACATCAATTCTTCCATAAACAAAAAGAATCTTATTGCAATGGATATGAAATGTGTTTGTAAGGATAGAACCTCCCTCCTCTTTCTCCTCGTGCCCCCAAATTTGCTAGGGATTTAGGGTGCACTCTAGCTCCATTTTTTTCAGCTTGGTCCTATCTCTATAGATTTATAACTGAGAGAGACAATTATTTATTTATAAAATCAGTGACTGGGAGCCCTAAGAAGGGCTGTGTTACTAGTAAGTGATTAAAATGTCAACAACTTGCCTGCAGGATTTCTAATAGGGTGGGAGGGAAAGTGTACTTAGGAGAAGGTTGCTAAATAATGCAAACCTTATTGTGTGTCAGTTACAATGGTGTGAAACCAATCCTAGTTGGATCATTTCCACATGTGTCTGTTTTCTTTCCTGTCAGTTTCCCTTTGTTTTTTTCCCCCTACTGCCGTCTGTTTCTTGACCACATCATTTGTCCTTGTTATCACTCAGTTGTCACTTTCATTTGTCATATTCTTTATTGGGGTTTTGTTCTTCCCTTTCCACCTTTAGCTTCATAGAATTTCTTTAGGGGCCAAATCCCATTAATTTAAACAGGAGTTTAAATCAATCCTTTGTGGACTGAGACTGAATCCCTGCCCCTCCTGGATGTGTCACACAAGACACTGACTGTATAGGTGCATCATGTGGCAAAAAACGTGATACGATGGTACTGCACAGTAGTATTAGGTCACTATGCAGTAGCATCACAAAAAAGGCATTTGCCAGCACTACTACACAGCAATTCGGGTTACTGCACATTTATTCAGTACTTATATAAAGGACAAGGATATACATTTACTAAATAAATGCGCAGTAGTGTCTCGTGTAGACGTGGCTCCTGTCTCTTAAACATAATTTCCTGCTATTGGACCTACCCTTTCCCTCAGGTCTATTCTTGTATTTTCTACTTTCTTTTCCCCTTTAATTATTGCGTTTTTTTAATTACCAAGTCTTTAGTAAGATGCTGCCTTTAGTCTCTGACATCTTCACACTTTGATGGATTAAAGCATCTGGGATTGGCATCCACTTGCATGACAAGAATTTGGGCAGGGAAACAGGGATGATGCAATAATAGCAAAATGCCAGTTATGTAGGAATGACACAGAAGCATCACCACGTTCCCTGAAGGTTATGGAACTACTGTCTCAGGTCTAGATCAGAGCTGTCCCTTGCTTAGGGTTGCATCATAAGGAATGGCAGCATTGCCAGAAATGAAAAGTAGTCAGAGATAGCTAAGCTGTTCTCAGTTGCATTGTTGATTTTTTGCAATCATGGTTTTATCTATTTAGATCTATTTGAATATTTGTTTTGCTTGTTAGAACTGATCTGAGGTATGGATATACAAATAAAAGAAACCAATCAAGCACAAGCAGCTTTGAGTTATTTCTGTTTTCATTTAATTTTAGATTTTCCTTCACTGAGAAGTGAACAAATGCCACAATTCTGCTAAGGCTGATGTGGTACACGATAGAGTGCCATTGTACAACCATTTATGAAGAAGGAGCTTCCTTTGGTTCCAAGGTGTGGGAGGGAAGAAATAAAGGTAAATAGAATGGAAAAACTTCAAAGACACTGCAGAATCAGAGCAAAACCAAGGTGGCCCTTGTGTGCCCTTCCTTGCTCCCAGGAGCCCCTGAATTTCATCTATGGCATTTCCACACAATGAGGGTTCTGTGGCAAGGTTAGAGAGAGAAACAGCTGTCATATGTAACATATTCCTCACTAAAGTGGAGAGAGATCCCGCCTCTAGGAAATTTTCAGGGATTACATAGATCCATCAGTACATTTATCTGATTGCAGGATATGTCCAGCAAAAACTGGTTGACTTTAGTTACCCAGTAGAGAATGTAACTGTTAGTTGGGAAGATTTGATATCTTTGAAGGGATGACTCAGGTGGGATCTAAATGTTCAAGGGACAGGCAGTATTCTTATTCATTGATCTCTGTTCCTGGACTGTCACTGACCTCTGGTCAATGCAATTTCTCTGTGATTGCTACACTCACTAGTATCATGTTCTGTGTGGGAAGAATTCTGTGGGAGGTCAGCAAGTAGGCAGGGTACTGGCAGGGAAGCTGTGTCCAGACCTGCTTCCCCCAGTACCCCCTGTTCCTAGATCTATGTGGGAGTGACTCTTCCCTCTGGGGACATGAGGGCCATCTAGTGTCCCTCCTTCTCCTTCCCCCCACCTCCAGTCAGGCACATTTTAGGAATGAAACTGGGGAGGACCTAGCTTAGTCCTATCAGAGACTGCCAGGCCTTGATGAGGTCATTAGACTACTAGCTACAGTCTTTCACTTTCAGTGGTCTCTGCCCTGTGGTGGTTAGCTGTTTGTTTCATGCCACTTTCCACCTCATTCTTCACATTTCCACCCCTTTTGTTTTTTTATCTGGCTAATCCTGACCTAAGATAACTCCATTGGAAAGACTGAACCAACAAATCAGAACAAAATTCACTGAACTAATCTAACATTTGTCATAGATGCATTGTTCATGTTCTCCTCCTTCTACCCTTTGTCTGTCTCATCAGTTTTGAGCTATGAGAGCTTCAGGGCACAGGCACTGGCTCGTCTTCAATGTTTTAATAATGCCCAGCATAATGGGGGCCCATTCTCAGTTGGCTTTGCCAACAGTGAAAATGAAAAATGTGTGTGTGTTTGTGTCACGGCGGGGTCCGTCAGGAGGGCCGTGATCTCCTCGAGGTCCCTCGCTCCGTGTCAAGGCCGGCCCAAGGCACCCTCTTATTCTCGCCCGCCACGTCTTTGCTGTTTATATATAAGTTTGGGAGGCTGCCTATGTCTCCCTGGGCACGGCTACTCGGGACCTCTGTCCCCGCGGTTCTCCCGGATTCCTGTGGTCACCCGGTATGATGGGTGCTCCCCAAGCACCCTAGCCTTATGGGCTATGCGTGGCTCCTACCAGCCCCTAATACCACGCCCCAAGCCTCG